AATTATGGAAATATTTCCATAATGGGAGTTGGATGTTAAGAATCTATGTGTAAGTTAGAAACTTTTACACAAGAAGGATGTTCAAAGAATGTACCTTGAATGTGAGACTTCTTTTCCGGGGAATTGTCTTGTAACAATCTCCAATGGAAAGCTTTGTAATATCATTGACCAAGTCTCTGTGACTTTGGTGCCTTGAAATTACAAAAGGAACATTGCATGTAAGTTTAGATCTAACAAGATTCCAGTAGTGGCAAGAATTTGGTATCCTTACACTTATAAGTATTAAGCAATTGTGAAATGAGCATCATTGGAAATGTGTTCAATTAATTTCACAAACGAAGCACCATAGATAAACATAGTGTGCATGCTTAGAGCGTGGGATGACTATTGTTTTAATTCAGTTATTGAGTTGATTAGTCGAAACAGTAAACAATGAATAAGGTCTAATTAATATGGTGATTAAATAATAAGTGTTTTATTTGAGACCATATTGAATTAGGTTATTCCTGTGTTTCACTTCGCATGTTTTACTTCCCGAATAACTAGGTTATTCAAACATCCACAATCATTCATACTTTGGAAGTAAGCAGTGAATTAAGACTGTCATGAATTCATCTGTAGATTGTCTAAGTGCTTAGACATAGCACAAGTTTGCTACAGTGTTCATGAGCACTCTTGAAATAGGATTTGAGTATTGGATTAAACCCACACTCATTTGAATCACTTCATGGATTTTATCACGAGTGATTGTGAGACGATAATATCTTATATTATTGAAACGGAGACATATGAGTTGTTGTTTACAAGTCGGTTCCGCATTGATAATACGTAAACGCATCAGTAACTTGATGTTATAAAATGTATTGTTGTGTGTGATTTGATGAGTAAATAGTACAAGCATATGAGTCAAAGTTTATCCGTTCCTTTTACCCTAAAGGGATAAAAGCGATATATGTGGGCCCTTCAATGATTTAGTGATGACACCCTAAGCACTTGTCCAAGCCTAGATTGATTTGATTTGTTCAATTAGTCATTCGTCATAAATTGGAAATCGGGAAACAACTATTGGACAGAGATTGATTACAATCCATGTCTCGTGTCCATACGATATCTTGTAGAATGGAGGAATATTTGATCCCTTATCTAAAGGACGTGTTTCTGATAAGATCATAGTTCGACAACGGCTTTTGAAAGCTATGATTGCTGATCAGATTCTGAAGTCATACTTGCAATAATAGTTATTAGACTTATCCAAGTAGGAGACTGTTGGATTAGGTGTATAAGTCCATAACTATATTTGGTACGTACTTGATTTGATATGTAGCATGATCCTTTTGGGTTGCCTTCACTCACACAACTTGATGGGATAACTAGTGGAGAGAGAGAGTATGATTTATTATATGAATAATAAATTGGTAGTAAAAATGATTTTATTAATATATTATAAGATTAATATATTATTTGGAAATCATATTATTAATTAGTAATTGATCAGAAATTAATTTGATATTAATTTTGGGATTAAAGGAACCGATAAATAATGGAGTGGACGAAATTTATGGGTTACCCCATAAGATTTCGTCCAAGGGCTTACCAAGGAGGTCCGTGGGTTGTTTTGGGCTTAATTTAGGAACTAGGATTTCCTTATTCAAGTCCAACTTGAAGACTAAGCAACCTAGCCATATATAAACCGCCTGAACCCTAAGGATTTCGGCCCCTATGTGATTCTAAGAGAACCTGGCCGATTTCATCATCTCTCCAAGTCATCCCTGTTGTGTTGAGTGTTTGTGACTCCATTAGAGGTGCAACACTTGGGGCACTAAGTTTCAAGAGTTAAGGATTGTTCTTGTTATTACAATATAACAAGTGAGGTAATCTTCCAACCTTTTTATATATATGAATTTCGAAATTATGTATGCTAGATCTAGGGTTTTGCTTTGGATAATTAATCTGCATGTATAACTTGAGAAAAACCTAGATCCAAAGCATTAGGGTTGCATGTGCACCATAGGAATGTTGTAATGCTCAAAACCCATCACAAACCCCGACAACGCCGCCAGTCGGCTCCGCGGCGGAGTTCATTGCTAGTTTATGGCGACCGACACCCGCTGCAACGGCACAACCGGCCACGATGACCACCACGACGCCCCAAAGGGCACCAACCACACAATCATAACCAACAACTCGTCAGTAGCCATCCACACGGCAGGCAGGGACCAACACAAGTGCCCGAGCACCATACCATCCGTTATACAACCAATGCCTGCAGGTCAGCTGTCTTCCCGATGGCCGTCATGTCGCACGTCCCGCTATTCGCACAACAACCAGCGTTCAACCTAGAGCTGGAAAAAATCGATCCAACCCGCCAACCTAACCCGAACCCAACCCAAAATTAGTAGGTTGGGTTGAGATTTTCAACCCATTTAACTTAAATGGGTCAACTCGTCTAACACATTTAATTAAATAGGTTGGGATGGGTAAAAAATTATCAACCCGTTTTCAACCCGTCAACCCATTAACTTTAATATATATATATATATATATATATATATATATATATATATATATATATATATATATATATTTAATTTAATATTATTTGAATATTATCATGTATTAATCAAAGTATTAATTTGTAAATTATAATGTTGCATTATTATTATTTGTGTTTAATAAATTTCAATCCTAATTTCCATTCTTTTTTTAGCGCCGATATTACTGATCACTCTCCAAAATCACTGTGAAACTAAACATTTTTAATGTTATTTGAACAATTTATTTGTATCTATGAATTATGATTGTGCTTTTGTCATAATTATGAAGTTTTATTTATGTTTTATAATTTAAATTGTATAATATTTAATTATATAATTTATTTAATTGATTTTAAATGGGTTAACCTAAGTTTAGCCCATTTATTTAATAGGTTGGGTCGGGAACTACATAAACAGGTCAACCCGGTGACAACCCATTTATGTAAAAGGTTGGGTTGGGTTGGGTTGGGTTGGAAATATCAACCCATTTAAATAAACAGGTTGGGTTGGGTTGAAATTTTCAACCTAATTATTAAATGGGTTGAACCCGAACCCAACCCAGGTCGACCCATTGCCACCTCTAGTTCAACCCATACTCCTACTACTACCAAGGCATGTACCACCCAACGCAACCGCAAAACAACAGTCAAGGCACACCGGTGCAGGGGACACACTCGCACACCATGGGACCAACGAAATGGAGCTCACAGTCAAATCAACTGGTGCATACATACCCCACACAGGCAATATATGTGCCACAAACACTGGGGTACAACCACGGGTACCATTACAAATATGGTCAAGGGTACACCATCCCCTATCACATGCATCACGCAATGGCCAGTGGAGCACCAGTATATCCACACATGCACGACTCAGTATCAAGCATTAGCTCGACATTTTTCTAAGAGCTCCTGCAGTACGAAATACCACATTCCGCCATGATCCCAAATATCCCAAAATATAACGGTACGACAGATCCCGACGAACATATAAATACTTATGAATGGACGATGACATCGGTCCGGATGAACAACAGGTTCACCAACACCTACTTCCCTGTCACACTGTCAGGAAACACCAGCAAGTGGTTCAAGGCGTTACGACCGGGAAGCATCTCCAGCTTTGAACAACATAGACATCTATTCCTCCATAATTTCATGTAGTTGAGAAAAGTCAAAGGAGATGCCAACTCGATCATGGAATGCAAGCAAAAGAAGGGAGAGTCCATCCAATCATATTATGATCGGTTTACCTTAGTAACTTTAAGCGTCCCAGGCCATGAAGAATTCTTAGTCACAGGTGCCTTCGCCCGGGGGTTACTCCTAGACCCCATGTCAAGAAAAATGCAAGGCATAGTACCGAAATCCGGAGACGAGCTTAAATACAGGGTCGAGAAATACCTTCGACAGATCGAAGGAGAAGAACGCAAACAAGAAAATTTAAAGGCTGTAGCGAACGCCTACCTCAAACAAGAATCAGCCGAATCGTACTCTCGCTACAACCATAAAGAGCGCAACGATGGAAACTATGGCAAACAAAGCAGACATTCGAGACATTCCTCCTGCAGATTTCACCCGGTCATCACAAACGATCTGAGGAGCCACAGGTCGGAAGTACACGTCATAGAAAAAACCCCACAGCGGACGGAGAAGGAAAAAAGCAAATACTGCGAATACCACAATAGCAAAATACACAACACCGGAGAATACGCGATACTCAAAAGAGAAGTAGCGGACAAGCAATTGAACGGAGACCTAACAGAAATAGCAAGGACCCTACAATCAAAGTTCAAAGCTGACCAAAAAAATGGAAGAACCCGCAAGGAAGCAAGCAAACAACCAATCAAAAAAGAGGAGATTTTCATAATAGCTAGACCCAAGGATCGAGATAAGTACCAGCGGTTGGCCAAAGGCGATGCCATCCCACCCGGAGGTACTCTAAACATAAGATTCTCGCCATCAGACCCACGAGTGCCCGACTGGGACCCAACATATCCAATCATAATCCCTGCCACGGTCATACAACAGAAGACCTAGCGAGCCTTAGTCGACGGAGGCAGCAACACCGATATCCTCTACGAACACTGTTTCATGCAACTCCCGACATGCTGGAGAAGGAACCTGAAACCCCCAGCCCAGGCACCACTCTTTGGCTTCACGGGACACAAGTTGTGGCCACTCGGAACCATGGAACCTACCATTGACTATAATCAGTGTCGATAGGAAGGAACAAGTAACCAGGATAATCGAGTTCTCGGTAGTGAAGCAAAGGTTTGATAACGATATAATCCTTGGGTGCCTGACTCTTTTTCAATTACAGGCTATCCCATCGACAATACATGGCACGGTCAAGTTCAGAACAACCAAAGGTTCAGCAACATACATAGCCATTAACGTACGAGCAAAACCAATCCGGGAAATCGCTGTGTGGGCCACCGCGCACATCCCCAAAAGAAGACGAACCATGATACTCACATCTAAAACGGTGAAAAATGAGGAGAAAGACACCCACACCCCCGATAAGAAGAACAAGCGCAAGCCCCGAGCATATAGCCCAGAGGGGGAAGGGCGTGGTAGTAACAACATTACCATGCCAGATACATCGCGTATTGTTAGTATGAACACCAAGAAGGGTTGGGTACCACTAAGCATACCCACGAGCCTTCGCGAAGTGAAGACACAAAGTACGAAGAAGAAGCCTGACAGAAAACTAAACCAACGGATCGAAAAAGTCGGGGAGGGAAAGACAGGGAACCACCTTGCAAAAAGAAGATACAGATAGGAGGCTGCAAGCAACAGCAAGAGCCCGCAATTTGTAACGCCCTGTTCCGAATCGATTCCTAATTTGAGGCTGTGGCCCGAATAGCGGTCATCAAAAGGATTAGGGACTTTAAAAAAGGTACGATTTACGCCCATTTAGATGTGGGTAATGTAGATATGTGACCCGATAGTTCGGTTTTCACTTTGGAGTCAAAGGGTAAATGGGAATGTAGTGTTTTAGACTTCTTTTATGTATTATGGATTTTAGTTCGATGTGTTTTAAGTCAAAGGTAATTAGATAGGGTTGTAGAGCTCCTCAAAACCTTTTCGGGGATATAAAGAACGTTGAAAACGGAGTTAGAACGAAGAAGTTATGATTGTTTGAAGTTTGGGTGGTTTTAGGCCAAGCTGAGTACGCTGGGCGTACAAAAAGGTGTATGCTAGGCGTACTAATGGAATCCTAAGTATGCTTGTAACATCCCAAAAACACAGTCTGAAAATTTCATTTAATTTAATAATAAAAACCATAGTCGATAAACCTCGTATAAAAAAATCATAAGCAATGTATCCCAAAATATTATAACAACTGTCAAGTATATCAGAGTATAAACATCCCAGGCTGAACAAATGGTGTGTGCACTGCAATCTTCCCGAGCTCCTCTTTTGAAAACTGAGTACCTGAAACCAAAACTGAAAACTGTAAGCACAAATCTTAGTGAGCTCCCCCAAACTACCACATACCATACATAACATATAAAGCAACTACTGGGCCTTGCCCACTACATCGGACCGAAGTCCGGACTAACTGCATCGGACCGAAGTCCGGAACTAACCAGGGCCTTGCCCTCTGCATCGGACCGAAGTCCGGAGACTGCATCGGACCGAAGTCCGGAACTAACCAGGGCCTTGCCCTCTGCATCGGACCGAAGTTCGGAGAATGCATCAGACCGAAGTCTGGAACTAACCAGGGCCTTGCCCTCTGCATCAGACCGAAGTCCGGAGACTGCATCGGACCGAAGTCCGGAACTCACCAGGGCCTTGCCCTCTGCATCGGACCGAAGTCCGAAGACTGCATCGGGCCGAAGTCCGGAAACTGACTGAACATAGCATAGCATAATCATAACTACTAACATAACACATATACTGCATACTGCACCGGACCGAAGTCCGGATCACATAACACAAAGACATGCTTGAATCACAAAGACCTCAAGCACACTGAACTACTGCATCGAACCGAAGTCCGGAACTACTGCTAACTAAACGGGCCGGCATTGTGGCCGTAGACCCGTTCCTACTGGAAGGAAACTCACCTGTACTGCTGAACTCTGCTGATAATCGACTATTCTCTGAAGCGCTGCTCTCCTAGCTCACCGAGCTACCTGTTGGATATAGTGTCTAAGTCCATAACTTTATTTGGTATGTACTTGACCCGACCCGACATGGTCCATTTGGATTGCATGGCATTGCAATACTTGGATAGACTAAATGAGAGAATAAGGCACTTATGATTATTAATATATTATAAGTTCTAATATATTAATAATGGTATTATTTAATTAGTATTGATCAAGTATTAATCTAGTATTAATCTAGTGATCAAAGTGAGACTAATTAAATATATAGGGTTGATTATGACAATCATCAATTCTTTTATGGTGGATTAATGATCCATGGTTTATGGGTTTGGTTATAACCATATGGAGCTCCATGGATAGTCTATGGGAGTTACAAACCCATGGGTCATGAGAAATCAAGAGTCATGACAATTAAGGGCATTCATGTGTAAACCCTAATTGTGACAACACTATAAAAGGAACCCTATGGCTAGCAAAATCGTGACCGAGTGTTACTAGAGAGGGCATAACCGATTTTGAGTGCTAGAAGTATTCTCTCAAGTTATTCCAAGTCTTGTGGTGTTGTGTGAAGCATTTGAGGCACAACATTTGGGGTGCTAGGCTCACAAAGTCTTGAAGGAATCCAAGCAACAACAAGGTATGTATTTCTACTAGTTTTTATGTTTTATGTAATCCCCATGCCATGCTAGTTAGGAAATAACCTTGAAAAAGAAATTTGCATGTATATAGAGAAAACATAGATTCAAGGTTATTAGGGTTGCATGTACACTTAGGAAGTGTTAGAATGCTCAAAAACCCATCAGTGGTGTCAGAGCCTAGGATTGTTTTCTGTATACTTGATGCAAAACTGCTTAAAAATCGAAAATTCTGCACTCTGACGACTGGACTCGCCGAGTCCATGGGGAGGACTCGCCGAGTCCATGAACAAATTCATCCTACTCGACGAGTAGAATAATGCACTCGCCGAGTAGGATCGTGCTGGGCAGCTTTTCGTGTTTTGTTGCTGGAAATGGATTAAAATCATTATCCCAATCTGTTTTGGACTTGTAAAATTTGTTTTTCAAAATGATAATGATTATGTTAACCCATTTTACATGGCTTTTATCAATTTTCAAGTATTGTATATGTTTATATGATTTCTTGAAATTGCTTGACATGAATTTGTGTTCTTATGAGTTTTTAGAAGATCATAGGAATTATGTGTAACCTCCATGTGTGTTTAATTCATGATCTTAATGGCAATGATGGTGTCCATAACTTGTCCTCAAGTTATGGATAACCAAAAGTCACTTCTTTAAATTGTAATTAAAGAACTAAAGAGGTTTCATAAAATGAAGAATCTTCATTTTTTTTTATGAACCATTAAAACTCATAAGTTACAAATTGAAGAGACTTGGAATAGTTTCAAATCTTGCCCTCAAGTTTTGGAATTTGAAAAGTCTTACACTTTAATACTTTAATTCCAAATTAAACCTTAGATTTTTAAAAAGTTTAAAAATCAACACTTATACTATTATTATAATTTTATTATATAGATATGTATAAGAATATGTCTTTCTTACCGTTAGTAGGCCTCATTCACGAAGCCGGTCTATAAGGGGGGTATAAGGTTGTTGCCTATAAAATGGTGACTTAATGGGTGTCCACTCTCACCCACCGCTTCCTTGATCGGTGGAGGGTCGTTAGCAGAACGGGTAGGATACGACTTTAAATACTCGTTAAAAGTATAATGAATTATAAAGTAACTATACATTATAAATTCCCAATCTTAGTTACTTTAGGAAAATGTGAAATTGGTGCTAGCCCATAAAATTACACTATGTACCTTACCAAGTCGTTAGTGGAGCGTGTGTGGTTAACCGGCACACTAACATGGACTAGTAAGAGTGGCAAAGGGTAACTTGACCTTATTATAAATCGGTGGAGCGTGTGTGGTTAACCGGCACATCGATTAGGTAATATTGTTGAGAGTACCAAGTCAATTTGTATGGTTATTCACACCTTGTTTGTGATCCTCGGCATCCCTCTTCCAGTTATAAATAGGTTATTGGGTCCTAGCCTTAATATTTCATATTGGGTGTTATATTAAGGACTTTAAATCAACTAACTTGAATTTCTCCCATTATAAATGTCTAGTTTAGACAGCTATGGTCTTCCCAAATCTTTAGGAAGAAGTTTTCTAATGAAGATGATATCCCGAATGGCAATCAAGGTGAAAGATCAATCCCTTTGTTATGCATTAGTGGGACTGAAAATCATACTTCACTTCCTCCACCTACTCCAATAAATCTCCCTATCCCACAAGTTTCAAGACATGATAAGTTCTAAGTCACTCAATCCCTATTGGCAAAAAAAGTCTATATGTGCTTAGGTCTTGGAGATTAAGTCACATATTGACAAGCCGGGAGAGTCGGGTGTCGAAGTCTCAAGGTAGCTGGCTGTTGACTTGGTCACTCCCTGATAACAGATCACGACATGAACCTTAATGATCTTACCTAGTTGCTTGATGATGCTGAATCAGCAATGATTTGGAGCATTGGTAAAGCAAAATTTGATTGGAAGATCAACTTCCCAAACTTCCATGGACATTGACAATGGTAACATTAGAAGTCCAGAAAAACTTTCTCTTTCCAATTGAAAGGGATTGGCCATAGTCAACTCGGTTGACCAAATGGTAAAGAGAAAGGCTAAGTCTGTGATAGTCCCGTGTACCGTTTCCAAAGAGTCCATATGTTTCTGTTGCCAAAGGAAGGGCATTGGTTGCGAAGCTGCCAAATTTACCTAAAAGTCCATAAGGATAGTAAAGTCAAATGTTTGACTCTACTTCAGGTAAAGTCCATTGTCTAACTCTATTAAGTTTCTATTCTGAGATTCTTATTGCATGATGTGACTGGGTCACATGTTGATGTTTTAAGAATCAAAGAAAAGTGAAGAAACTTAAAGAAAGTATATGTTGATTCTGATCGCGAAGAGAGATTTTGATCGCATGGTTCGGTGATCAGAATTTTGAGCTATTACTTAAGAGTTGAGACATATTGCTTAGGAATAGATAACAACAAGGTTTTCATATGGGTTGTAAGGATAAGTTTTCCGCAAAGTTTTAAAATAAAGAAAAGTTTTGATTTTATTTATTTTAAGTATCCTTACAATGGCATTTGTGAAAAATTGTTGATTATATGTTTCCATTAATAGCAATATTTGAAAATGGATTTGATTCTTTCATTTGTGGTAGTATCATAATTTACCAAATAAGGAAAGATTCTCATCGCCCAAGTTTCAGTTAGATAGAAACTTGGAATCATGCAACTTGTATTGTATGATGAATGAGAAGTTTTCGTCTTTGGGAAATTAAGACTAATTCCTTGTTCACATGAGTCAAGTGAAGGACTAAAAGATTGGGTACACTTGGTTGTGTGCTGGTCAGGTCCACCACAAAGGTAGATAAGATTATTCGTTATGATTTACTAAAGTTTAGTAAATATGGTTATGCTTACGAGTTTAAGTGTAATTCTGAAACATTGGAAAAGTTTCAATGTATGGCAGAATGAATAAGAAGAATCAAATAAGGCAGAAATATAAAATTTTCTCCAATCTGAAGAGATGGGAGAGTACTTGTGTATTTTGTTTTATGATTATCTTAGTGATTATGGAACCATATCACAAT